ACGCCTCTCGTAAGCCTCCCAACAACTAAGTGCAGCCCTAGAGAACTGAAAAGTAGTGAACGAGACCCCACTGGTCTCAAAATACCCACGGTCTGAAGCATCCTCTGACACTTGTCCAAGAAACCCTGGGCATCTTCGCCCTCTGCACCACTGAAAGTCGGAGGTTGAAGTCTACCAAACCTCTCCAACCTACGCTGTTCATCCTCTGGCATAACATGAGCTACATAGACCCGAGCAGCTACAACCAGCTGGGCTCGAGGTTCCCCTGGTGTCTGAAGTCCATGCACGACCTGCTCAGGTGTGCGAGCGGTGGGAATCTGAGTGCCTCCCCCGGCTTGAGAAGTAGTTGTGGCCGTAGTAACTACGACCGCCTGATCTAGGCCGGTGCACACTGATAGAATCTAGGCTAGGGCCTCCTGAAGTCCTAGGATAACAATAGGCACAGCCGGTGCCTGAGCTGCTACTGCTGGTGCATCCACAACTGGGACGGCTGGTGGATCTGCAGATGTTGCCCTAGCTATTGTGCAGGCTACCACCCCACCCCTACCAAGGCCTCAACCGCATCCTCGGCCTCTGGTGGCCCCAACTGGTAGTACCGGTGATCGTCCATCCTGATCGGTAGCACGTGTCCTCACCATCTTTGTGAAAATAGAATAATAGAAGTTTAGTATTAGAATCAACAAATTCGCATGATAGGAATTGAAGAATATGAAGTTTTTCCTAAAGGTTCTGCAGCCTTCTGAGGATAGGTACAGACATCTCAGTACCGATCGACAAGACTCTACTAAACCCGCTCATGACTCGTGAGACCTATTTAACTAGGCTCTGATACCAACTTGTCACGACCCTAAAACTGATCTGGTCGTGATGGCGCCTATCGTGAAACTAAGCCAACCGAAACAATTCCCAATCAAACCATTATTCCATAAAAGTTATCTTTTAAGCCATTAATTAACAAAATATCTCACAATATAAGTTTAAATAAGCAATGCCAAAATATAACACAAGCTCGATATCGGGGTGTCACCAGTCATGAGCAACTACAAACCCTTCTAAGAACAAGAAAGGCTAACATAGCCTGAAATAAAATACTAAGTCAATCTGAGTAAGGTGAGAAAGAGAGGTGCAGGGCTGCGAATGCCAAGCAACTACCTAGCCAATTCCGGAGACCTACTGGAAGACTGATCAGCACTCACTATCGCATCTCGAGACTCCTAGATCTGCACACAAGGTGCAAGGAGTAATGTGTTTATGCCAACTTAGTAAATAATAAAAGTAAAAGCAGCTGAGCAGTAAGAAAATAGGTAATTCTATGTCATAGCACTAAAGCAAAACAGTATATGTCAAAAGCAATACAAAAAATAATTAACTCGTAAAAACAACTCAGTTTTAGTAAATCCTTTTTCTTTTAAAAACCTCTTTCAATAGTTTCAAACAAGTGATGAAACAGTGAGTAAAAATGATAGAAACGTAAACAGCCCCTCGGGCAAAACATGTACCATAAATCGCCCCTCGGGCCAAATATCAATAGAACAAGCCCTTCGGGCTACCTCACAGTCACTCGTAATCAGCCTCTCGGGCAATAACATGAATCAACAATAGCCTCTCGGGCTATATCACATCACTCACTCTGGGTACCCGCACTCACTAGGGGTGTTCAGACTCCGGAGGGAATCCTACAGCCCAAACGCTATTACAAGCCATCTCGTGGCATAATAAATTAGTCCCTCAGCCTCTCATATATCACAAATTAGTACAACCTACTACGGCGCGTAGCCCGATCCCATGATATCCTCACAACACAAACCCTCGGCCTTACTCAATCAGAACTCTCTCAAGCCCCTCGGGCTAAAAGTAAAACATGTACTCAGCTCAAAATATCATTTATGGAATCAAAGGAGTAAATAAAAGCTGAGTTATGAAATCAGTAAAAACATAGCATGACTGAGTGTAAATATTAAACCAAAAATAATAAGGAAACAATAGCAAAAAGCCCCTAAGGGTCCAAACAGTCGGCACAAGGCGCAAACACGACATTCAGCCCTAAACATAGTAATACTTTTCAAAATACAATAATATCAAACAGTTTCCAATTAAATACGCGACTTAATAGTCGTACGAGATGGACCAAGTCACAATCCCTAGCGGTGCACGACCCCACGCTCGTCATCTAGCATGTGCGTCACCTCAAAGTAGTGAAAAGATGTGAAATCCGGGGTTTCATACCCTCAGGACAACATTTACAATCATTACTTACCTCAATCCGGTCCAAACTCTATCCCGTAATGCCATTGCCTCTTGAATCGGCTTCCAAATGCTTCGAATCTAACCAAAACTAGATTAATGCTGTCAATATATGCTAAAGGAACAAGGCCCACACAAAAACAATCAAATTACATCAAAAATCCTGAAATTGGCCAAACACGACCCCCGGGTCAACTTCTCGGAATTCGATAAAACTCATATCACAAATATCCTTATCCTCACACGAGTCTATACATACCAAGAACATCAAAATCGGAATCCAAATGGCCCCTCTAATCTCCAATGGAAACTCTCCAATACCAAGCCCTAATTATCCAATTCTAACCCTTAATCTCCAATAATTTCAAGCCTAATCAATAAGATAATGCCATAGAATCGAGTATTGGTTTCAAAAATCTTACCTCCAAGCGTTATCCCTTGAATCTCTCTTCAAATCCTCTCAAAAAGCTCTCAAACCATCTCAAAAATGGTGGAACAAAGCTGAAATTTGCGAAGGCAGGTTTATATAGTTTTTGCCTAGGCATTTCTTCACTTACGGTCCGCACTTGCGGAAAAATCTCCGCTTCTGTGGATTTTCACTTAAAAGCCCTCATCTGCACCTGCGTTCAATCCAATGCACCTACGGGCTCATAGGTGCGCCTCAACTTCCACTTCTACGCAACCAAACTGCATCTGCAGCCTTTTCTCGCTTCTGCGGTTATCGCACCTGCAGTCCCCTAACCGCAGGTGCGGTTATGATAGAACCAGCAACGTTAGCTGCTTTCTCCAACTTCCAAACTTTTCGATAACAATCCGAAATCATCCTGAGGCCCCCGGGACCTCATCTAAAAATACGAACAAGCCACATACCACTACTCAAACTTGTACCAAACCTCGGAACACTCAAAACAATGCTGAAATACCAAATCACCCTCGGATTCAAGCCTAAGGATTCTAAAACTTTCAAATTCGGAAAATGATCAAAAAGTCTATCATACCTCACCCGAATGACCTGAAATTTTGCACACACATCCCAAATGACACAACAGACCTACTCCAATTTCCAGAATTCCATTCCGATCCCGACATTAAAATTTCCTCTACCGACCGGAAAATTCAAAAATTTCAATTTCACCAAGTCAAGACTAAATCTACCACTGACCTCTAAAATATATTCCGATCACACTCCTAAGTCCCAAATAACCTCACGAAGCTATCCGAATCGTAAAAACCAAAGTTTCGAGATCATTTACTTACAAGTCAACTTCCGGTTAACTTTTCCAACTAAAACTTCCCAAAAAGAGACTAAGTGTCTCATCTCTCTATAAAATCACTCCAAACCCAAACCAACTAATGCAATACGATGAAATTTAGCTGAACAACACATAAAGAAGCATAAATGGGGAAAACAGAGCGGTAACTCATGAAACGACCAGCCGGTTCGTTACATTTTTATGCAGTCTTCTGTAACATGACTCACATTTTTGACACATCCAACCTTGTCTCCTTTAAAATACCATGGATATCTCCAAATGTAGATTAAGTGGCTTGGAGGAGATCCTTGATGACATTCAGCTTCTTGTCAATTGCAGAAATCTTCTCAACAAAATTTAGGACGTTCATCACATTCTTGCTAGCACCAACTTTTACCTTAGAGCTATAGGGAATCACATTGGCTTCGTTGTCCAATTTTCTTATCCAGGGCCCATTCATAGGAACATAACCTATACTAACAAAGGCTCGAGTATTATAACATCTGGAGACTCAAACATATAGATAGTTTGAGAGAGGAATGTTATGGGCTTCAAGAAGAGGGGTAACTACCATGCCATAAGGAAGACTAGAGGGTTCATCAGAGCATTCAATCATGAAATTTATTACCTACAATGACAACTTCACTTTGTGATTTGTAAGAAGGTAGTAGATCGGAAAAATATCTCTTTGAGAAAGAGTGGTGTATGATCATGTTTTGGGAGGTATGGTGGTGGAACTATGTGAGAAAGAACACGAGTTTAAAAAATAATGTCATTGGGCCCTAATTGGTTTGGTAAGGAGTCAGATAGAGATTCAGCTATGCATCTTTTGGCTTGGACAAACGACACTTTAACGTTTTAAGTCCAGGAGTTTTTGAACAGAGGAGAATAACTAGAGCTTATACATTGTAAAATAAAATCAAAGGTAGAACAATCAAGAACAATACACTAACCTAGAACTAACGACTCAATCTTATCAGATTTAGGGGAACGAAGGTCTGCGCAAAACATGAAAATAATCTCCTCAAGATGCGGAAAAGGTGTAAAAAGAAACTAAAAATGGTAGAGCCTAATTAATGGGTCTGGTGGGAGAAAAGAGGTGAAGAGATATATTAGTAAGAAAAATATTTTTACCATAATTACTTTAGCACAAAGCTTTGAAAAAATACAAAACATTAAAAACTTATGGAGAAAATACGATAATGCCAAGTAAGTCCCTAAGATTTTGAAACCTATCTTCTAGATGAGGCTTAGTAAAATTATCAGCAAATTGATCATTAGTGCAAACAAAAGATATTTCAATATCACCGTTAAGAATATGATCTCTAATAAAGTGATGCTTGATATATATATGCTTTGCTCTAGAATGATGCACATAATTTTTTTACAGACAAATTGCACTATAATCATCGAAAATTTGAACAGGTTTAAAGGAGACATCATAGTTACTTAGTTGATGAGTCATCTAAAGTAGTTAAGCGCAACATTGTCTGTAGCAATGCATTATGCTTCTGTTGTGGATAGTGCAACTGATCCTTGTTTCTTGCTATTCCAGGAGATAAGTGATTTTCCCAGCAATTGGCATGTTCCACTTGTGCTCTTTCTATCATCTTTATCCCCTGCAAGATCTACATATGCGAATTTTCCAAGCTTAAAATTGTTACAATGAGGATACCATAGTTCATGTGATGTAGTTCCAATAAGATATCTAATAATTCATTTAACTGCAGTCAAATGAGATTTTTTAGGAGCTGACTAGAACCTGGCATATTTACACACCCTAAATATGATATCAGGTCGACTGGCAGTAAGGTAAAGTAGTGACCGAATCATCCCACAATATTTTAATGCATCTATCGGTTTTCCTTCCTCATCTTTGTCAAGGGTGGTAGATGGGCTAATAAGGGTTCCAAGAGCCTTTTCATTGCTTATTCCAAACTTCTGTATCATTTCTTTCGTGTATTTTGTCTGACATATGAAGGTAGCCTTTTCTGATTGGTGAATTTGTAGTCCAAAAAAGAATGTTAGTTCTCCCATCATGCTCATTTCAAACTCGTTTTGCATGAGATATGAAAATTACTTGCATAAATCAGAGTTAGCGCTTCCAAATATAATATCATCAGCATAAATTTAAATAATAAAATTGCCTGATGATGATCGTTTGATGAAGAGAGTGGTATCAATCGTACCTCTTGAAATTCATGATCAATTGGAAATGAACTTAATCTTTCATACCAAGCTCTATGTTCTTGTTTGAATCCATAAAGATCCTTAGTCAACTTAAGTACATGGTAAGGAAACTATGAGTTTTCAAATCTAAGAGGTTGTTTTACATAGACCTCCTCATTAATAAAATCATTTTAAAAAGCACTTTTAACATACTTTGAAATAGTTTAAAACCTTTAAAAGAAGCATATGAACAATTTACGAATTGATTCTAACTGAGCTACCAGAGCGAAGGTTTCATCATAGTCGACTCCTTCCTATTGCGAATATCCTTGTGTGACTAGTCTTGCTTTTTTTTTTTCTAACAAATTTGCCTTCTTCATTCAACTTGTTTCTAGATACCCATTTAGTTCCAATGATTGCCGCATTTGCTGGCTTGGGCACCAATGTCCATACTTGATTTTTGTCGAACAGATCAAGTTCTTCTTGCATAGCTTGTACCCAACTAGAGTCTTTCAAGGCTTCATCAACTTTCTTCGGCTCTATTTGAAATATGACCATTATGTTAGCCATTTTATTGAGAGCTTCCCTAGTTTTCATCCCGTAATTTGGATTTCCTATGATAAACTCCCGGGAATACTCAGGTTCACTTCTCCATTCATTTGGTATTGTCTCAGCTTGTTGAATAGCTAAATCCTTTTGACTTTCAACATGCTTGTGATGGTAGGCTAGAAACCCGTATTTTAGGCGTATTTTGCACTCTAATCACTACACTTTACATGTGTTTGAGCTTAAATAATAATAAATTGCACTTATTACGTATTTTATGACTTGCAAGAAATGATTCCGGGTTAAAAGGATAATTTGGAGTTAAATCTAACAAGTTAGAGCTTTGAAGTCTGAGTAGAAGCCTAAGAAATTAAACTGAGATCATGTTCGGGGGTCGAGGACCAAATCTGGAAGTTAAAAAGAGAGAAAAAGATTACTTTGAGAAAAAAAGCACTACGGCACCGCGTGGCACAAGGTGCTTGTGCAAAATTCCTGCGGAGTGGAAAAACCTGCTCTCTAAACTTTCCCATTGGCGCGGCGCATAGGGTGACGCATGGGGCACCACACCTGTGTAATTTTCTTAGTGTATTTCCTGTTTTGGCTGGGAAAGGGTAGTTTCGTCCGGACCCGCTTCTACATGGTATAAATACACCAAAATATACATTTTTGAATTATATTTTGACCTATGGAAGGTTGGGAGTGCATTGGAAACTCTAAGGCACAATGATTCATTATTCTTTCCTCGACTCAACATCCGAGTTTGAATTGAATTCATGTGTTTTTATTTTTAACTCTATTTATGATGACTTTCTCCATGATATGGAGTAATTTACTTTAGAGTTTGATGGATATGTTGTTTGATTAATATTCGTAGATTTTAACTCTAGTTCTTTGCATGAATTCATTTATGGAGCTTTGAATTGATTGTAATTTTGTTCACCGAATTATTTAATCGAAAAAGGAATATTTTGGGTGATTATCTTTGCATTATATTGTTTGGTTTAAGTCAGCGATTCTTTTAAGTAATCAAAAGAGCTTGTTGAATTTTTGATTAAATCAAGTTAGGAGAATATTTGAGAGACGTTTTCTTAAAGACTAGTCCATTACCATGTTCTTGCATATCTTTACAGTGATTTATATTAGTTCACCTCGTAGAGTTAAGATTTAATCGAGATTGGAATCTTGGCTACACGATTGAATTCGCGAGAATCATTAGAACATTAGAGTGAATTGAACTAGAGTTGGATCACGGATAGCTATCATGCACCTATTATGTCACGACCCTTATTTCTCCCATTTATTATTTCGGTGTTGCTAAATTCTAGACTTTTTGTGATCAATTGTTTATTGCTTTAATTTTAGTAGTTAATTTTAGTTCATAAGCATTCCAGTCAAAGTGTTAACCATCTTGAATAGTGTTAAACAAGAAATTACTTGAACATTATTTAAATCCAATCCATATGGAGACGAAAATTAAACTATACTATCTTTTTATAGCGAGCATCAATTTTGTGTTATGTTTCACGCTCGTCAAATTTTGGCACCACTGTCAGGGATTGAAAATCAATGGTGTTCAAAAATAGTTTTTGGTGCTAATTTAGGAATAATTTTTATCTTCTTGTATTCATGTTTTCTCACTTGTGCATGTAACATGGTTGATTTCTCTGGGGTATGTCTCGATCTTTTTCAAAGGAAGTGATATCATATTAGCCGAAGTTGGAGAAACACCTGTGACAGTTGAGAAAAGAGAGAGAACTGGCCGAAAAGTTCTTCGAGCATTCTTCAACCCAAGAACCCATGGCTAAAAATGGTAATGATGGGTAGATTTAGCTGTAAGAGAGGCAACACAACAGAGAGAGCAGGTTGCACCTTTAGAAGCTAAAGCATCCCTTAGAGCTGCTAATGAGACCGTCGAAGGGGATGGGGGTCAAAGATTCAATCTAAATCGACCCCCAGTTGAAAACCACTTTGAAAATGTGGCCCCCAAAACTGGGAGAGCATTAGGTTACTATGCCTAACCAGTCTACGACCAGAGGCTTTCAAGTGTCAGACCTCCACCCATAGTAGTAAATAATTTTGAGTTGAAGCAAGGCTTGCTTCAAACCATCCAGAACAACTGTGTCACTAGAGGGAAGGTGAATAAAGATCCTAACACTCACCTGATGGACTTTGAGGAAGTCATGAACACCTTTGAGTACAACAGAGTGTCAAAAGATGCAGTCTACCTAACGGTATTCCCCTTTTCACTGAAGGATGATGCGAAGCTTACCAACTGGGTTAATCAATACAAGGAAAGATATGAATATCCTCTGGAGTTATCTTCATTACTGGACCTTCAACTACACTACTAAGAGTTTGTCGTGAGAAGGGTGTGGGTGTCAGTCCATCCCAAAACTTCTGGAGTTGCATCCATAATTTGATTCCATTATGGTGGAACCTCACTATCTCCTTGAATCTTTCCCAAGCTTCGAAGACCGTTTCAGTGTCCTTCTAGCAGAAGTTGTGGATTTTCCTTTTGAATTTCCCTGTTTTTGCAGCTGCGAATTATTTGTCATCCTTGATGATTGTCTGATGATGCTAACCAATGGCCCACTAAGAGTAATGGTAGAAGAAAATTTATTGGGGTTCACCAGGTGGACTCTAACACATCAGTGCAAGCCCAGCTAGACAACATCGCCAAAAACATTAGAAAGTTGACCTTAGCCAAGGTCCAGAGACTGCCATCATTAGTTTGTGACTTGTATGGAATGAGTCATTCAACGCATGAGTGCTAGGCCTCATCTATAGATTAAGTGGCAAAAGTCTTGGGACGCTTTGACAGAGGAAACTACCAAAGTGGTAATAATTTTAACTCCATAGGAAGATGCACCCAGGTTTTTCGTGGAGTTCACCATGTGTTAATCTGAACTAATGGCAGTAAAATAATTCGAGACCCTCAGGAAAAGGAGCTCCAGGATTTCAAATTCAGCAGAGACAACAATATCAACCTCCATAGTCTAATCAGACTAGCATGAAAGATATATTGAAGGCTTTTATTATTAAGACAGATGAGAGATTTGACTCTCATGGCGCAACCATTCAAAACTTAGAGAGGAAAGTGGGACAAATTGCTAGTTTGTTATCCGAGAGGCCTCTAGTAATCCTTAATACATATATAAAAAGAATCCAAAGGAAACAATAAATGTAGTGTCTTTGAGGAATGGCAAAGTATTACAGGACCCGATGGTGACACAAAAGAATGAGTTTACTAAAAATCAAGTTAAGACTGGAGGGAAGCAGAAAAGTGATGAGCATCGTGAAGTGCGGGCAGAGCAAGATGATAGTCTGAAGAAGAAGAAGAAGAAGAAGAACAAATCTGAAGTTCCAATAAGGAAGAAGAAAGACAAACAAAGAAGTAATGATGAAACTAAAGAGAGTAAATATGTGCCTGCTCTACCTTTCCCTCAGAAACAAAGAAGAGAGAAGTTGGACAAACAATTTGGGCATTTTCTAGAAGTGCTCAAGCATGTGCATGTTAATCTACCATTCATAGAAGTACTATCTCAAATGCTAGCGTACGCTAAGTTCCTGAAGGAGATATTGTCCAACAAGCGAAAGGTGGAAGAGACATAGGTTGTCAAACTCATAGAGCATTATAGTGCTATTCTGCAAAATAAGATCCCTCAAAAGTGTGAAGATCCAGGGAGTTTTATTGTACTTTTCTCTTTAGGAAGTACTAAATTTGAAAAATCTTTGTATGATTCAAGTGCTTTTATTAATCTTATGCCCTTGTCTATTTTTAGAAAATTGGAGGGAAAGATTGGATAAATCAAATCTATACCTGTATCATTGTAGCTCGCGGATAAGACCATAATCATACTTTAAGGAGTAGTAAAAGATGTGCTAGTTTAGGTGGACAAATTCGCCTTCCTTGTGGACTCCATCATGGTGAACATGGAAGAGAATAAGGAGTCCCACTGATTTTAAGGAGACCCTTTTTGGCTATTGGAAGAGTTGTAGTAGATATTCAGGAAAGGTAGCTCATGCTAAGAGTGGGGGAAGAAAGAGTAGTGTTTAAGATAAAGGAAGCAATAAGGGCACCTAGAGATGAGTTGGCTGCATACTCTGAAGTCAACACAAAGGCCCATATGAGCGAGCTGGAGAGAGTAAGCATGATAAGTGCGAAGTATACCCGAAAAAGTCATAGAAGTAAATCTCAGCAAGGATGTGTGTGTTGGGTTGGGCGTGCAAAGTGGGTTCATTGATTCAGACCCAGACTAGATGATTCATAGGAGTTTTCTTTATCTCTTACTTTTTATTTGTGTGTTAGAGGGACATGCCGTAATTTAAAGTGTAGGGTGGGGATGTAAATATGTATATGTATGATTGTTTTTTTCGTTAGTATTATTCATATAAAAAATTGATTTTTCTCAAAGATGGATTTTCTCGACTATCTTCTTGAGGGATTAAATTCAAAGAAAAATTTTAGCCGATTATTTGTGTTTTGTTTTCTTTGGTAGTGTAAAAGTTCCCCTTGATTTTTCTTTATGTCGCGGTTCTTTTTCAAGGCTTTTTACTTGAACCGGGTGTAGTTAGTTTTTTTTATTAGGAATAGGGAAGTCTTGTGCTATGGTATTAATTGGAGATAACTGTTCTTGACTTTATTGTGACTTGAGACTAGAGAGTGCCTTGTTGTGACATCCAGGCTCAATTTTTTGACTCTTGTATAAGTGCCTTAAAATGTTTGATTTTGAGTTTGCATAACTACTTTGACTAGAGAGTCGGGATAGTTTCAGTCCTAAGTGAGTTATGTGCTAATATATGTGTGAGGTTGTCATTGATATTTTGTGCGTGTCAGTTGATGCTTAGAACTTGCCATGTGTATTTGCAAAGCAAAATAGAAGTCTAAGAGTATGGAAAAGGACTACACAGTCTGTTACAGAATCCAGTACAAGGAAAAATAAAGATAGGAGGGAGAAACACTGGGTTGTGAATGCGGAGCAACTACCTAGTGAACTCCAAATAGCCCGCTGGAGGCAATCAAC